TCAGGGCAGAAGGGAGGGAAGCAGGGAATGGGAGCGAATTGTTCTCAAACAGGGAGGAACTCACAGATAAGGCGGTCTTTCTGGGCCATGCCCGCCCCTTCCCAGGAGGATCCATGGGATGGTCCTACCTGACACCCCAGGGCATATCTTGCACGCTTCATTTTGCTGGTGAGAGAAGAATTAAGTGACCACAGCTCCGTCAGCTAGAATGTGAGCCACAAGGTGCCTGAGATGGGAGTATGGTCTGAGCAGGATACTCTTACAACCCCAAGGGAGGGAGGGGATTGGAGGGGAAGTTTGGGGGGTTACGCAGAGCTCAACAACAACCGTGAACATTTATGAAGCGTCTGACGCGCGGTGAATATTATTCTGCAAATTTTACAAGGATTCATTCATCTGGGGTGTCGTCGGCACATCGCCAATTTCTAGATGAGGAAACTGAAGCACAGAGAGTTTAAGTGGCTGCCCAAGGTCACACAGACAGTCAGTGGCGAGGTAGGGGTTGAAACGCAAGCCGTCTGTCTCCGGCAACCGCCCCTTCTGCCAGTCCAACGTGTCATGGCTTGGGCCACGTGGACAACGGGTTGGGGTACAAGGTCAAGGGTACATCCTGTGGGCCACAGACATGGGCATGTCTGAGCACACTGCCTGCTCTGGAGTAAGTGCCCTCTGGTGTCCCTGTCCCAAGGTGAGAGACCGAGTACCCACAGGGTCCCTTTGCGTGGCTGCCCAATTGTCCGCACGGCTGCTCCGGGGACCCCCGAATGGGGGATTAAGTGGCTGGCTCACCAGGGGCTCTGCTGACATGACGCAAGCTGTCAGTAGTGAGTGGCACCGAGGACCAGAGTAGCCTCAGAGGGACCAGCATTTACTGAAACGTGCACTGCAGGCCGGGCGTGCAACGAGCCCTCACACACCCTGGGGCGGGTGCTCATAGCCCCATCTTACAGAGGAGGACTGAGGCTCGGAGGTGCTAGGTAGCTGACGGAGCTGACACGGCCAGTAAGTGGGACTGCAATCTGGGTCTGTGTCCAAACCCTCTCTTAGGCTGAGAAAGAAAAGGCCTGGGTCACTGGGTCTCTCTTGACCCCTACCTCCTGCCACCCCTCCCCGGCTCCGGAAAGACTCCAAGTCAGACACCAAGCCCGCCAGCCCTCTGTCCCCTCTGTCGCCTGTGCTGTCCCCGAGGCTGCAGCTCCATCACCATCACCATGGGGACCATGGCCAACGCTCCCTGGGATGCCCTCTTCAAACCTCTCTACCGGGGACGGTGCACTTGTCTGCACCCCCTGCTCCTCTCCCCATGGCCTCTCTCAATGGATAAAGTAATAATCCAAGGGTCCATACGGAGAGCACATATAATTGAATTAAACCTAAGTGGCAAAGAACACTCTCTGATCAGAGGCTGGAGCCTCCTACCTCTCCCAGACTCCAGGCGTAGGATCGTATGAAGGAAGGGGACACGCAGGAGTCTGGGTGTGGCCCCTTAAGCCCCCCTTGGCAAGCCCCTCACTCCACACCCCAACCTCCCAGCCCCTGGCAAGCACCCCAGCTGCCAGCTACAGGCTCTGATGCCCGCCAAGTCAGTGCCTCCGCTCACAGGGCCAGGGGCAGGAAGCCACAAGCACTTGCCAAGAACATCTGAGCACATGCGGGCGTGGGGACCTCAGAGACCTCCCGGCCCAAGCTGGACAGGGAGCGAGGAGGATGAGGCCAGAGAGGAGCAGCACTTTGCCCAGGGGCACACAGCAGCTGGGGCAGACCCCACCTCCCGATGAGGCTCTCACCACTGCACCAAGGGGGTTAAAACCCAGGCCAGCCCTCTCACTGCTTCCCGCCTGCTTTGTCACAGCGTAACAGCCCAGACTAAACCCACAGTGAAGGCTGGGGCACCCCTCACCTCCCTGGGCCCCCACCAGCCCCCTCACCCCTCCAAGCTCCCTCCTGCAGTGAGTGCCCAGCGCACCCCCAGCTACAGTAGCACAGAGCCTGCCCTAGCTCCACACCTTCCCCTCGTCCTGTGCCGTCCCACCTGCCAAAACGGACTTGTCCTTGGTCCCGTCCCTCCAGGCCCTGCCTCTACTCTGAGAAAGCTGGACAGTTCCATGAGGGAGTATCCAAGGAACACTTTGGAGACCACAGGGCGACATCCGGTAAAGTGAAGTGTGCGGATTGCCTATAAGCCGGCCCGCCCCCTTCTGCGTTCCTCCCCAGAAACGCACACATGGGGAGGGGGAGCCGGCCAGACATGTACCACAGCGCCGTTCGCAATAGCAAACAAACGGAAATGACCTAAATATTTTACAACAGAAGATCGGAGAAATGGGTGTTTGCCCGATGGAAAGAAAACAGCTCTCGTGTGTCGGCCCCACAAAATCCTGGGAGGACACAAAGTCGCTCGAAAAGGCAAATCGCAACCTGATCTGTCCCATTTGTGAGGGATTTAAAGACCACATATAATAAAACAAGATGCGGTCTGTATGGAGACGCACATACCTCTGAGCAAAAGCTGTGTGAAGGCAGGAGCTTCTGTCTGCTAGATTCGTCGCGTGCTTGGTAAACGTGGACCCCAGGACCCAAGCGAGACAAACCTTCCAGGCACAAGTGGCAGTGAGGGCGCTCCAGTCCTCACGTGTGCAGCCTGATGGAGAACATGCCAGGGCACACCCCAGCCTCCCTATTTCATCTGTGAAATGGAGCTACTCAGCACTCGCAGCCCAGTGGCATCCACAGTGCCCGGGAGGGGAGGGGTGGGGGGTGCCTGTCTGGGACCACCCTTCTCCTGCCAGCCTTCTGGCTCCCGAAATCCGCTCTTCCCCTGAGAACAGGCCATGAGCTGGCCAGCTGTCCCCCGTGACTCCCCCGGCCTCCAGGCACCTGCCCCGACTTGAATGTGACATAGAGACTCCACTAGAAAACTTGATATCGGTTGCCTGTTGTATTTTGTGGTCTCTGAGCCCTTTCCACTTGCGGCCTGGTGACCTTTCCCGGTGTTCTCCAGGCCCAGCCAAGGTATCTGTGTCGGCGCCTGCCTCCAACTACGCTCCCCAAGGGCGAGGCCGGGCCTGTGCATTTGTTCGTTTGTTCATTCACTCATCCATCCATCCACATTCATTCACGCATGCATGCATTCACTCGAGAGTTGCCCTGCTCCGTTCCTGGCACAATCAGTCAGATGTTGAGAAGTGATAAGAAGTAAAATTCCTACCTTGGAGCTCACGGTCTAGCTGGGAAAGAAAGCAAGACCAGCAAAGACAGCAATGACCCCGAGGGAACATGCAAAAGGACCGGCCCTCCGGGCCAGCAGGAGCACATGGCAGAAGGCCCACCGGTGCCAGGCCCGCTGCCGGCTCGTCCTCGCTTCACGCTGCGTTCAACAACACACTGTGCCCACATGCTACCACGATTTTCCCTTCACTGAGTCTACAGATGTTTACCGAGCTTGTTAGGTACCGGGGAGGTTTTCGAGGCTAGGATACAGCCGTGAGGAGGACAGAGCCCCCCACCCTCATACAGCCCACTCCCAGTGGCAGAAAACATCTCAGAGGCAGGGCAGGGGAAGAGACGAGTAAGTAGGGTGATGTGAGGGCGGGAAGTGGGGGCCGCATCCCCTGATTCCACCCGGTTTCGTCCTAGAGGACGGGGAAGCTCAGGCCAGGCCGTGCAGCTTATTAAGAGGCACAGATTTGGACTCTGCCTTGACTTTTCCCTAGGAGCGGCTGCCTTGCCTGACAGCCAGGAACTCAAAACACTTGGACTTGTAGATCCCATCCTCAAGTGAGAGCTCGCTGTTGAAATGACCTCATTTCTCTGTCCTCCACTGCCTGGGGTTGTACGCGCTTGTTTGAGGCCGGGGACGTGGAAACCCACGGGCACTAAGGGATGCCCAGGGGGAGTCAGCCAGCCAGATTTCCTGCCTGGAGGGGTCTCCCTAATGCCCCCGTGGACTTAGGTTCACACACACTGCACCTGTGCCCACTTCTTCCTCCTCCCCACACCTCCCTGTCCCCTGCCACATGGCTCTCCCCACTCGACCTGTCTGAATAAGCATCCCCACGATCCTGCCACCCCCCCAAGCAACCCCCAGATCTCCTCCCTCCGCAGCACCCCCACTTACGGGCTGGGCCCACCCCGGAAGCCAGGGCAGGCAGAGAGCCAAGGCCCTCCCGCCAAAGCAGCCTGCTTTCCCCCAAGCCCACGAGGTGGGGCAGTCAGGGGACCTAGGCTCCCTTGTTCCTCCCCAGAGGCCTCAGCCACATCCTCCAGGCTTTGGGCATCTGTCTCCTCCTCCAAATCTCATTCCCTCCCTCACCAGGCCCTGAGAAAGGAGCTGAGCGGCCAGCACACAGGCAGAGGGGTGGGCAGAGCGGCCAGGATGGGGCACCCCAATCCATAGCACTCCCTGTCCTGGGAGGACTCCACATCCACTCCGTCTTTCTCCAGCGCCCAGAGCCCTGGGATCACACTCTGCAACCCAGGATGTCCACTTGGCCTAAACAGCGCTGGGGGGCTGGGCTCCAGACTAGGGAGGAGGAATTTCCCCACGGCTGAACCCACCCTTCCCCTCACGGTACAAGCCGGCCGCTGCAGGAGGCCAGCACAGACATGAGCTCCTCTCCTCTTTCTCTTTTCCTTGCTTTTTTCCCCCCTTTTAAATTTAAAAAGAGAGAAAAACAATGAAAAGACAAATCCTGGGAAATCAAGTGGAAGAACCTACATTATGGCAAAATGTGAAGGCAGCAAATTGCAACATGGAGAGAAAGGTGGAGGGAGTTGCACAACCCGAGGGGGGCCCCCAGGTTCCTGGAGGTTCCTAGCAGAGAGGGAGGTGGGGGAAGGCATGAGGGAGGCTGGGAGTCACCCCGAACCATACGGACGCACACACGCACGCGCGCGTGGCCCTGCTCTCCTTCCTCCCACTCCAAGAGCCAGGCCCTCTCCCCAAATGTGCTTTCAGGAAAGGAAGGTACTCAGAGGGTCAGTGATGAATCCAGAGGTACTTTTGTTTTCAGGCAGCAGAGCCGGGCCTGGAGGGTGTTTTGAGGTCAGGAAGATGCCCAGGCCCTTGGAGAAGGCCCCTGGCCCGTGGCTGTTCCAGGGCGAGTAGGGCTGTGGGAGACAGTGAGGGGTGGGCCCGCACTGGGCCCAGTCTGACCAGCTCTGGCTCCAGCTGGGCCTGGGGCTCCACAGGGGGCTCAAGGCCTGGGGGGGGGGGCGGCAGCTCAGGCCGGGTTCACGGCCACTGGCTCTTTCTGCTCCTGTTCCCAGACCTACTCCCCACCCTCTAGCCTCCACTCTAGCCTCTGTCTGACACATGGCTCCTTCCCTACAACCCTCGGTGGCTCCATGTGTGCGTGTGTGTGTGTGTGTGTGTGAGTGAGAGAGAGAGAGAGACAGAGACAGAGACAGAGACTTGAGGTCTCACCTCCTCCTCAGATCTGCAACATCCAGCCTTACTCAGGTCCCTACCAGAATCTGCCATCCGACCACAACTGCTGCCCCCACAGGCCTCTGCGCCCTCAGCCAGGGGGCTCCCACCCTTGCAGCCCTTCCCTCACTGGGCCTTGGTTACCTGCATCTCTAGTCAGAGCCCCAAGGGGTCCCGCACTCATGCCGCACCTGCTCGGGAGACAGGCACTGATTCACGCTTGCCGGATGAACGAGCCACTGAGTGCCGGACTGACGGGGACAGAAGGGACAGGGGGGCAGGAGCCACCAACACGGGTGTAGGGGCAGAGGCTCTGCAGGAATCCAAGGTGAGCACCTGTACCTGCACAAACCCTTCTAGCTCCTCTGGGAGCTCCTGACCCCTGCAGCCCACTGTGACCTCCCCTCTGAGCCACCACCTGGTCAGGCCGAGCGCCCGGACATCTGTGCGCACAGGCACTGGGCACCCACTCTGTGCCTGGAACCTACTTCATGCCAGGCTACAAAGATAAGCTGCGCACAGCATCTGCCCTTGTAGGATTCACTCGTGAGCTCCATGCACACACCTCACACACACCTGGACATCTCTCTCAGTCCTGCCTTGTCTTGAGATTTTATTTCTCCACCTAAATGCAAATTCCTTGCTATGGGCGCTTAGGAAACACACAGGCAAAAAAAAGAACAAGCAAAGGGGCACCTGGCTGGCTCAGTTGGTAGAGCATGAGACTCTTGATCTTGGGGTCGTGAGTTCAAGTCCCACACTGGGGGTAGAGTTGACATTAGAAGAAGGAGGAGGAGGAGGAGAAGGAGGGAAGAAAAGTATAAGATAGCCATGCAAACTGGCAGGTCCTCAGATTCTGGAAGACAGCAGGGCCAGTAGAGAAGGGCATGAAATAGAGTATCTACCCTCCCCACTGTGGCCAGGATGACTCCAGCCCTAGGGAGGTAGTGGGCCCACTGTGAGATATTTGGCTGGAGCCAGAAAGGGACCAGGTACCAAGGGACAATGAGGATAAGACAGTCATCCAGTATCCCGCCTGGAGGTGCCTCCTTAACGTACCCCCAAGGTTTGTGCAAAGGATGAACACTGCACCTGCATTCAGCTTCCTCCGCCCCTCCAGCTCGAGGCAAAGGATGCAGGCTCCACGGCTTACTCACTGTGTGACTTTGGACAAGTTACTCAGCCTCTCTGAGCATCAGACTTTCCATCTGCAAAATGGGAAAGGACTTAAAGAAACTGTACCCGGTGGAGTGGGAGGGAGGCTCAAATGCGATGGAGTTTGTGAAGGCCTGCGTCTTCCTCCTGGAGCCAATGCCTCCGGGGAGTCGGTGAGGCCAGTGGGGGTAGGGGCTGCCCCAGGAGGAGGGCAGGAGCAGGGAAGGCAGAGACCTCATCACCCAGCTTGGGCCAGGACCCAGGGCTAGTGAGCGAAGCCCTGGGGACCAGGGGCACCGTGATAAAGCAAGAACTGTCCCCGGACACAGGGTGCTGGGAAGAACCCAGGACCAAAGCTTGGAAGCCCAGGGACTGTCCAGGGCAGAACATACATGCTTCCTTTCCTGAACAATCTCAGCCCCTGCCACCACTCCCAGCCACCCCCCTACACACACACATGCATTCATGGCAACTCACCAAGCAGCTTCGGTGGCCCCTCCAGTGAGGCAAATCCTGTCTTTCTTCTGAAACCCTCTCCCTCTGCCTCCACTCTCATCCAGCCCTGCCCGTGTGGAGAACCGGGCTGGCTCTGGGGGTGCAGGGGACACGGGCATCAGAGAGCTGGCCTGGTGTGACACAGGAGGCTGAGTCTGGGCACAGCAGGGCCCATGTCCCATTTCAACCAGCTACTTGCTTCGTGATAAAAGCTACTTTGCCCAACCTCTCTGAACATCCATTTCTGCATCTGTAAAACAGGATGGCATTACCCCCACCCCAGACATGCAGGGTCATTGTGAAGATTGCAGGGATCACCTGTGGACAGGCCGGGCCTCAGAGGGGACAGGTGGGGGAGGGGAGGGGCAGGTCCGTGGGGGGACTAATCAAGGCGGCTGTGGGGCTC